GTCTTATAAAGGAAATAACTACATTCTGGGATTCCAAAGAAATTGTATTTTTCAACTAAAACACAAAACTACTTTTTTCCATTAGTATGAACATAGGGGTGCATAAAGTTTTATACATTTAAATTATGAGATTTTAGGGTTTTCTATGAAATTTTGAAAATATAAAACATTTAATGCAATGAAATGTGAAAATACATGTGGAAAATGTTTTCATGTATTATTAATATAAACTACAATTCATTGTTTCCTCTTTCAGGTGGATTCGTCATTCCTTTCCCTTTATGATGGCCACATAGCAAAGGAGATTCTTCTTCGAGTACTTACATTGTTTCAGAACATAAATAACTGCTTCAAAATGGAAGGGTGTTCAGCTTCACAGCATTTCACTAAAGGTTCATTATTTTTCCTGTTATATGGAGAAGAGTGTGCCCAGAAAATAAGATCTTTAGTTCATCACCATGACACAGAGGTGAAGGAAAAGGTTGTAACAATAATACCAAAAATCTGATGAGTCGGTCATATTTTCCCAAAGAGAAATACAGTCTAGTAATAGCACACATAACTTCTTATTTCCCATCTTCCTTCTAAGGGGATTCTTCCAATTGCTGAATTTAAACAGTAAATACCACATTGCATCATTAACACAGCTGTAACTTGCCATGGTCTTCAGGTTTATTTTGGACCATTTTATTGATACCAAGTGAATATAAAAGCTTGTAATTAAACCATTTATTTTGCTGTTTACTCAGATACTTTAGATATTTTCTCTACATGAAGTGGCAGTGACCTTAAGCTACCCTTCTGTTTGAAGTGATTTACAGTTACTCACCTGAGACAGCATTAGGGTGTGATGAAATCATTGTTTTTGAACTACCGTAGAAATTTAGTAGTAGTGAGATTCTGAGCTCTAAGTTCACCTCTCAGCCTGGCCAGACAGCTTTCAAAAGACTATTCTAATCATGTCTAGTCAATGAAAAATGTAAACTTTTAGGAGAGGATGTTTCCCAGGACTCACCCACTCCCATTCCAGTATTGCAGTATATAAAGATTTTGTTACATATAAAATACTAGGATCAATCAAAATGTCCATCTTTAGGCAGCTGGTTAAGTCAATTTTGCGGTCTTTAAAAAGAATGAAGCAGGCTCGGGGACCATAGCACAGTGGTTATAGCACCAGCTACATACACTGAGGCTGGCAGGTTCAAATCCAGCCCGGGCCAGCTAAACAATGACAACCACAACAAAAAATACCCAGGCATTGTGGTGGGTGCCTGTAGTCCCAGCCACTGGGAGGTTGAGGCAAGAGAATCACTAAAGCCCAAGAGTTGGAAGTTGATATGAGCTGTGACACCATGGCAATCTACCAAGGGTGACATAGGAAGACTCTGTCTCAAAAAAAAAATAAGAAGAATGAAGCAAATATGAATGTGATGTCAAAAGATAACCATGAAATATGATTTTTTTTAAAAAATGATTCCATGTGTTTTTTTTTTTTACTGAAAAATATTTATGCTTATCAACAGAACACTTAGAAAGATATCCAAACTCCTGGGAGTAGGACTGGGGAATGAGGAAATGACTTCTATGTATACCTTCTACTCTTTGAATTTTTTACTATAAGCCTAAATTGTATAATTTTTTAAATAAAGAGAAAAAAAATCACAAAGTTAAACTTATTCTCTCCCTTTATTTTATTCACTTTTCATTTACTTGACTATTACAGTACATAAAAATTTCTTTTAAGTTTTTATTCTATAAGCTACTGTAACAATTTGATAGATCTGTATTAGCCAGGTTTTACAGTATTTAAGTTCATAACCCCAAACATGCTCACCATTAGAACAGTATGCAAACAGAAACTTTACTACTCGTATATTTAAGGCAAAGCTTTAAGAGTACTTTAAATATCATTTGTCAATAATACGGACGCAAGACTATTTCCATAGAAAGGAGGTCAGAAATCCTCAAAGAGAAATGTGGTTCTCAAGCTTGTCCTGATAAGGAAATCAAACTTTGAAGGAATATTTTTATAGTAGAAAAAGTATCCAGTATAAAGTGAAAACTGGAATTTCCCAGTGGGCTAGAATAATAATTGGTGACATGAACATAAGAATTTCCCCAAAAGGCACGTTTCTTTGTAATAGTTTTTTAAATCTGCCTACTTAATGAAAGTATCTATTCAGAGTGTAACACATTAAAAACTAGGATTTGTTTTCAGTGTGCTTTAGCAGAGGTGGATTCTAAAACTCCATCTCCTTTTTTCTTCTATTATTAGTTTGAACAAATAACCACTCTCACTAGAGATGCAAGCATTGAGTCTAAAATGTCAAAATGCTAGAGAAAAATGGGAGTAATTTTTAACTATCCAGGAAGAAAATGCACAGACACGCGTTTACCTATATAGGCCATAGCTTGGTTTTATTAGGAGGGATGTCTCCTAATTGATAACATACCCTCTTGGGCAGTGGGGCATAGCAAAGTGTTCCTCAGTTACCATAAGCAGCTTCAATAAAATCTTACATGTTAATATGGACAGTCACAAGGAAACTAATTAGAGGATTACATCAATTAAAAGATAACTG